TAATATTTTATAGATTCCATACAGAGACCCAATATCACCAGGTAGTAAAGGGGGAGAAACCCTAGCAATGACAAATGACCCAAATACCTCTGCACCTACTGTATCTCTGCAAATTTACCTGATGCAAAGTTTCAAAATAAATGAACCCTAAAAAGAAAAAGAAAAAAGTTTGGTTAGGACAAGGTTATAGAAAGGATTAGCTACAGTTAAACTAGGGATAATAAAGGAAAATAAAGGTTAATCAATACAATGTCCTTTGCGTGAGTAGTGCAACCAATTAGTGTTTGAGTGTTTGTGTGTGTGTTGGAAAGGGTGCTCAACAGTGAAATGAGCTGACTGAGCACTAAGCACTTCAGACTGTTTGTTATGCATTATGAGAATATGTTTGCAGAACATACGAAATGCAAGACCTGGAAGACATAGGATGCATTTAAATAGTCTCTGCTGCCCAAAGCTCTATAGCCCACTCTGCCACTGAGGGGTTTTGAGCAGTGAGGTGATGGGGTATATCATTCATTATCACAAGCCTGTGTTCAATTCATTATCAATAGACAGTTTAACTGGTAACTGAAAGCAAATCTAGTCCACTAAAATGGCTGAGAGTAATGCTTGTTAGCTGACGTTTCCCACACTTCATCACAGCTTTTTTTTTTTATTTCATGCTGATTTGAATATTAACTAACAAGTGCATCCACATTTCCAGCAGCCCACATGCTATAAAGGGTTTCTGCTTCCACTGGTGGACCAAAACTGTTGCCTACTATTTTATTTGTCAAGACTGATAAAAGCAAAGTCAAGCTTTTAAAATATGCTTTTCATATACTGTATAAAAACGAATACAAAATCCCATGCTCTCTAATTCTTTAGTTTATGCCAAGGGTTCTGTGGGATGCATGAGGTGTAAGTAATCCAAAAGGGCATAAATCACCCACAAGCCATGGGGGGGAAAAAGGTGAACTATTACAGAATATGAAGAAAATGAGAGACCGGTATGTTTGTGTTATGTGAGCTTTTCACACTGCTGGTCCTCATGTAGGGCCAAGAGGCACAGCTATGCTGGTGCAATTACTTGCAAAAAGCTGCACTGTTAATGCCATCAGTGGGAATGAATGAACATGAAAGAAGCACTTCAAATGCTATTTATTTTTATTGACAATCAGACGCTGGTCCGGCACTACTATTAAGCTGTTCTCTTTTGAACAGACATGTGGCATGGCCACGTTGCCAGTTGGGCCCCTGCTGTTATTAGTGCTAAAAATGAAAGAAGATGACAAACTGAAAATGGGCCATTTCTGTTGACAGGCTTCTCTAAAACAGGAAATCCTGCCTTGCTGTAACAGCTAAGCATCAAGCCAAAGGACTCCATACTGTGCCAACAACTAGAAACACTAGCACTTTCTAGGCAGCTGCTAAAGAAAACAGCAGAGCAGACGATAATCTGTGTATTCTTGGTAAGATGGGGGGGAAAATTGCTGGGCCAGATTGGATTTCTTGCTACTGAATTCTCATCTGCGATCGTCAGCAGCGCTTCTTCCAGTCCATCTGTGGACAAGTGTCTGATTATTGAAGAAAGAAAACGGCTAAGAATAAGAGACATTTTAGAGTGGTGACAGAAACAGGCCTCAAGAACTCTTTATTCATGCTGAGGAAATCTTTTTGATCTAGACAGCATCAAGCATCATTTCAGTGAAACTGGCAATAAGAGAACTTGATTTTACTAAGTGAATCAGAGCAAATATCTGTGCCATGGTTCTGAAAGACAGGACGTGAATACTTAAAAAAAAAAAAAAAAAAACTGTTTCTTTGAGTGTAGGGTCTGTCAACAAATTTATAACACTCTGGTGGTATTTAATTCCAGCGAGATTGCAGAGCCTCTTCTGTCAAGTTAAAAGTCAGAAATAATGAGCCCTCTCTAATCAATGAATATGATTGAAAGAAGACAGAAGGAACAGTACACCGTTCACTGCAGGCCCTAATACACATCAGGCAGCATGCCAGCTTTAGCCCTGCCAGCAAATATCTGCTGAAATAGTGACTCTCATCTTGCGCACCGGAAATTCAATTTGTTCCGTAAGCTGGGGATGAAAAAGCAATTATTCACAGTCCCCTCTTTTCATGATCTGTTTCTTTAAGATATCTCTCTTCTTCCTCCTGCTAAAAAATAAAGCTCTAGATTAGTGCTGTGCATAGCTGTTCACAGGGGCAGCCAGTTGAAACCCTAAGATCAGGCCAAATAAAAAGCCTGTCAATCATTTTGAAAGATAGTAAGACATGATACATATCCCAGCATTCCCATCATCCCCATGGGGCATGAGCAAAAGCTCCTAGATAATAGCTGGATAGCTGGATGCCACTTTAAAACATAAAGGAAAGAAGTGCGTGCATGTCAGAAGAACACCAATTACACTACATAGAGTGCGCTAATACCAAATCTCACCCCCCCCCCAAAGTCCGAGTGGGAAGTGCTGTCAAGGGAGCCCACTGAACTGAGGCACCAATTTACACTTGGGGTATTGAGGGGGCCCTAGCATGACCGTGCAAAGTACTGTGGAGCTGCTTCTCATGCTCTCTGTTACTTCAACACATCCTGGGACAGGCTGACAGATCTAGTGCAGCAGAGAGAAGCTCATGTTTGAATCATGACCTTCTTTCCAGCAAAATGTTGCAGGAACACCACCTGTTGACTGAGTCAGCCACTTTTAAGTATTTCCTCCAGGTTTAGATAGCAGGGATACAAAATGTTGATAACTGAAAGATGAAGAGGGGAGAGAGACACGGTCATAACCATAAAGTGAATGGAAAGGAGGGATAAGCAACGAAAGTTAGAGTTATCCATCTGAGGAAGACCAGTGTGACAGCATCAACTTCGGATGGACCTAGGGATCTGGGGGAAGCTTAAGACTTGTCACCCACGATTGCGTTTCCCCATCCTTCATACCCTTTATCCCCCAAGAAAGAAATTTTCAATCTGCTGCTTTCTGCTGTATGCCACAGTGAAGTACACTTCTTATTATTCCACATAGAAGTTCAGTGCAACCTTTACTTTTTGTAAGGCATACTGCACAACACATGGAGGACAAAGGGGTGAATTAATGCCAAGTGCAGAAGGCTTCTGAGATAAGCATAATACAGTACCTATGGCATAGCATGCCAGCAAGAAGATGAGAAAACGGGTCTAGCTACCTCTGCCGGGCCACTAAATGAATGGTTAGCCTTCAAAGAGAGCAAGCCAGATATGATCATCTGTGCTATTTTTAAACAATATTCTCACTGAGGGAAATACAAGTCTGCTTTACATATTAAGTCTGTACACAGAAAAGGGTTCAACAGTCCATAGGAAGTAACAGATGACCAGTCTAGAGTGGAGAAATTTACAACAGCTGTTTCTTTTACAGAAAAAAGGGAGAGAAGACTTTAAAAGCCCTTACATCACACTGCCAACAACATTTACATAAGCACCTGAATGAACTTTTACATGATAGCTAATCTTTTCTATAATCAGAGTAATTATTTGGTTGCAAAATGTGACACCTGACCTCAGCTGGTTCCGTTGCAGCACATAAGTGATTCCTAATCTACTTGTTGGAGATTGGGTCTCTTCATTTTTTTATATAATAGCGACACTTTAACGGCCTTATTACATTATATATAAGCAATCAAAAGTGAATATGTATTAATGTTTGGCTATGCTGACTTCTGAGTTTTCTGCCTCAGATTGCCTGTAGCTACATAATTCATTTAGCTTAATTATTTAATTATTTTTGGAATGTGCTGCAATGTTTTTTTTAAGCAGATTTCTACCTGATGAATCACAAATAATCACAATCATAATAAATGACCGTAGATAGTTTGTGTGACCGTGTTTTCCCTTCAATAACGCGCCTGTTCCTGTTTCCAAATCATTGCTTTGATACAGATCACAGAATGCTCCTGTTCCTGTTGCCAAATCATTGCTTTGATACAGATCACAATACCTGTTAAATCTCCGGTCCACAGTCAGTGCACAGTGCCAAATTAGGTCAGCTGTTACATCCTTCATGGTCTGAATTAGAGTGAAGACCGTGTAGGATGAGGCAAGATGGTGACAGGGCACAGACTGGGATTTTAAAAAGCTAAGACCTTGGTGGGTTGTAAAAGGTTTGGTGATGTCTTAGTACTAGAGCAGGCTTTTTCTTAACCAGCAGGTTGAGCAAACTTTTTTTTTTTTTTTTTTAAATCAAAAAACAAATGCTGCAGTAACACAAATCCACAGTACAAGACAGCAGACTGATAGTCAAGTTGAAAATCTCTAGGTCTAAAAACACAATTTGCCTGGGAATTTGTCATCTGTCACACTGTGCCCCCAAAAAGCAGTCACAATTTTCACATGTATTAAAAAAAAAAAAAAAACCTTTTGAGCAACACACTTCCTGCCAAAGTCCACAGGGCCATGCATTTACACTGCCCGCCTATAGGCTAGGGAGCGCTAAACGCTAGAAAAGGATTTTAAAGTGCCGCCACACTGAAATCAGCCCAAACCCCAGGTATAATGTCCACAAACCAGACACTGTCATCCTTATGGGATTTGTTAGGTCTCTTGTCAACATCATCAGTCTGTAGGCACTTTGTGCTTTTCTGGCAGTGCACAAATACTATTTTTAAGGATTATACATTTCTAACTTTGAGGACACACTCTACAGCTTGGACACTTCATTCTTACATTTACTTGTCATAGCAGGAAAAGTTTAGTTGTTACTAGTGACATTAATGACGCCTCTGTTTTAATCACGTGTCCTGGTAAGCCATGACAATGTGACAGCATGCATAATGCTAGGAGCCTGACACTGAAGCATCTAAATGTATTTTGGGCATCATTAATTTTATTTTTTACACCAGTGCCTTTGTTAGTTTTTCCATGCTGTATTGAAAACATGCTGACCACAAAAATCGCAGAAGCCTTCAGACCGTGTACAAATATGATACACCACTGGGCAAAGTAGGTAATTTATAAAAATATTTACCAAAAGTCGCTGGTGGTCAACCACTACTGGAGGGTGCAGAGGAGGTGGCTGTGGCTCATCCTCGGATCTTTCTGCAGATCCCATAAACTGCTCTGATGGGTTCCTCACATTAGATTCTCCTGTGAAGGTATAAATAGATGACTGATCAAAAAAAGGTTAACAGTGAGGAGCATAAAGACCTGATTTAGTATAACAGCAACCGAGAAACTACTTTAAATTATAATTTGAGCTATAGCAAATCTGAGACTTTATTTTGTTTTTCTAATGAACCACTGTCAAGTACAAACTAGA